CCCCCGACAAGAGCTTAACGCCGGTCGGGATCCACCGCTGGGACTGGGGCCCTGCTACCCCCGCAAAATACAGGCAACTAAATACAAGATACCACAACCTCCGAACCCAAACTCTCCTGACCCGTTAAAGACACCGAAGTAACCCTACAGGCCAACACCTCCGTGAGCAAGCCGACACGAAAGCTAAAGTACAAGTCCATCAACAGTCTGGCACCCACCCGTTCCACCTAGCCAGGCCACGGGAATCCCAGCACAATCAAAAAATCACTACCATCGGCAATCCGATCTCGCGCCAAAATTCCTCATAAAAATCATAACAAAATAAATCCACCATCATCAACCCCACCCGGCACCCAAGAAAACGTTCCAGCACTGTCCCTCAGAAGGGCCATGACAGAGGGGCGGTACAAAGCCAGTCTCCCCTAAGCAATCAGTCGAGGCAGGCATAAAGCCCACCGCTTGCACCGTAATAGCCAACCCGGGACACCCCTAGGGCAATATCCTTATAGGTATCCCAACCTATGTAGAGCCAGCCATGTCCACCTCTTCTTCATGTTCCTCCGCATCCTCAAACTCTTGGGTAGCTGGACGGGGGCGAGAAGGGCAAACAGATGAGTGGGATTCATGTGGGCCATCACAGTTCACACACCTGGGCGTAGTATGACTGCAGGGACGGCGTCGAAGGCGACAGGTAGCCGTGGGGCAGGAGTGATCCCCAGTAGAGTGAGGGAGGAGGCACCAGCGGCAGGAGGCAGGCAGGATGCATTTGAGGCTGTGGTGGCCAAACTTGTGACAGTTTGCACACTGGATGTATTTGTTGAAGCGTAGACGGCGCTCGATACGGTAGGTATTAGAGAAGGCTGAGAGGCGTTTGCCAATGAAAGAGGGAGCCTTGGGTCCAGTGATGGATATAACCACGGTCGAGGCGAGTTTGCCGATGCGTGCTAAATCAGAGGTAAGCCACCTAGGCTGTTCAGTAAGAGACAAGCCTGAGTTGAATGTAGTGAGTTCTTGGGCAAGAGACGCCAGAGAGGTAGAGGTAGCAATGCCATGTACCAGAAGCTGGGTGGCAGGAGTGTCGAGGTGGACGGTAGAGGCACCAGGAATGAGGTGCAAAAAGGTTCCAACTTTGCTGTTGACAGTTGTTGCTCTAACCGTGTCCATGGTAGTGAGGGTAACATGTCTATCCCGAAAGGAGACAGACTGGATGAGAGTAGAGGCCAAGGCCTGGTTGATGCTGTCGCGGAGCTGCACAGCAGTAGTGGTAAGGGAGGCAGCGTCTCGTTTGATGATAAGCCGACGCTCGCGCATGGTGAGGCCCTTTTTCTTGTCGGTAAGGGGCTTAGCCGAGGTAGAGGAGGGTTTGGCTGGCCTCGGGCCAGGCTTTGTAGGTTTCTGAGAGGGCTTCCTTGCCCTCCTAGCGACCGTAGCCCAAAGAGGAGGGGCTGCCGGGCCAGGAGGTTGGGCATGGGGAAGGGTCGGAGGTGGAGGAGGGACAGAGGGTTGCTCTGTGGTGTTGGTGGTAGGGGGTGCCGGCGGGGCAGTAGTAGGAGCAGTCTGAGAGTAAGTGAAGCCACGAAGGGTGTCCAGTTCCTCAGTAAGGGCGGTGATGTGCTCGGTTAGCCCATCGGTCGCCTTCCTGTAGTCTTCGTGCAAAACTTGCATCATGTGGATAAGGATGGGAAAGGCTTTTCCAAACGTGAGTGGTGACTCAATGTGTTCTGCCTCTGCCAGATCTTCAAACATCTTCATGAAGGCGCCATTACAGCTCCCATCAAAGTCATCTGGTGAATATCGTGGTAAAGAAGTAGTGGTGCCACTACGTGGGCGTTTAAGCAAGGGGGGGCCCTGAGCCCGGAAGATAGGTGATAAGCGACCCTGCCCACAAAGCTGTGAGGCCCCGTCAGGCTGGGTAGGAGGTTGTGGAACGAGAGGGGGTGAAGACCCCATGATGGAGGTGATGAAGGGAAACTTTGACCCCGGTCGGGCCAAAGAAAGGTATCGTGGTGGATAAGATAATTCCCTGGAACGTAAGAAAGGGTGTCCGAAGGAGATTACCAGATTGCGTAAAGAAAGTAAAATATAAAGGGGCACACCCCTTTATATACTAAGAAAATCCTCCATGATCACTAATACAAAAGAAAGTCCTTGGCGTCGCGCGCAGCCGCGATTTCTCTATCTGGTTCCACTATCTTCCGTTGCGTGGCAATGCATCCCAATCGTTCATACAAAGGAAATCCAACCATACAACCAAGAAAACCACAACCAATACATGCAATGAAGAACCCATGCATATTCCATCTCCATAGCCGGGTGGCCGTGACATCAGTGGTTAGTAGTCTATCCATCCCGTTCGGAAGAAGAAGAAGAAGAAGAAGAGGCTCCCTCGGTTTTTGGTTCTTGATGGACGGAAGCTTGGTATGCAGGATACATGCTCTATCATACTTATGAACGAAATCTTTAGCCTGCGGAGGATGGAACTTGGACAATTGCGGTCGACCGACCATTCGGAGGAGCTCGAGTGTTAGGATTTTGTTTGCGCGGTCTTACCAGGCTTAATCATTTCTATAATCATCGTAGTATTGTTGTATCGTATAATACCAACTACGGCATGGTACCTTGGTATGGCCAGGCTGCCATCACAGCCGTAAATGTTACTTTACCATCATGAGTAATCACCCGTTTTCTGCATTGGCTATTTGTTTCTTTCTCGATCAATTGAGAAAGGTGGGCGTGGAGATTCCCTCCGAGTAGTGACGAAGAATTCAGTTCTTTGAACAATACTGTGTTTTCAGGCTGTTGGGGTGTCATACTCTCTGTCTACCTGCATCTAATTCATGGGAGGTGCTTGAGTATAGTACAGTACGGGAGGGGGAGAGAGGTTCTAGTAGGTTAAAATAAAGTAAAAACTGAGATGCAAAAATGTTACAGTATTATACAAGGTAGTGGTCTGTTCGATGTTAAAAATAAAAAAGGGTAAAAAAAAGAGGATATCTAGAGAGAAGTAAGAGAGAACTCCTCCAACTTCTCTTGCAATGGTCTACCATGACAGGAAATGGATTGATTCTTATCATCCTTTGGAGATAGGAGCTCTTCTGCTCCAGAGTCTCTATTCAAACTTCAAGCAGGCTGTTCCACTATCCCTAACCTTTGGTATGCCATGCTTTCAGATTGTTAATTAACTATTTCATATTGATTCCCTAAATTGACATCTCTATATTTCAGGTTCCGTCAATTGCAAGAGAAAGGTCAACAACACTAAAGAATAGCATAATTACATGCTTCTGAGAAGTATAGAAGAATTTTCAGGCTTCTCTAACAATTCTTATTGTTGATACCTGATATTGCCTAATGTTACATTCTCCCAACTGATTCTTTTTATCCAATTTTGTTAGCTTAAATTTTATTTCTTTAACAATTTCCTATATCATTGTCATAGCTGTTTACATTTGTGTTTAGTTTCCTCCCCCCTCTGAATTCACAATTCTCTGTTCACTACGCTATAGGTGTTTTTTTATACTATAGCCAACCGAATTTGCATAGGAATCAGAATTTCCTAAATGCCCCATTCACTATAGCCCCAGGATTCACTATGAGGAGGTTCAATATAGCCAGGTGCAATTGTAGATGCGAGGAAGAGCTCTAACGGAACGACGGCACAATAGCAGCTATCTTGCACTTTTTCCCACTCAGGTGGCATCCCAGTAGTGAATGGAGGTCCAATCGCTATGTAAGAAAGGCAGGTCTCCTGGCACCTCCTGTACTGCACTCACTTGCTCAATAGAGAAACCTACAAATATTCTAGGCAACATTAAATTTACCATCGTCTATCCTCCATCCAAGCTAAAGTACCTCCCCAAAAGTGTTGGTGAAATGACCTTTTTACACCAAAAATTGGCAGGTTTGATCAACCCCGACACCTGAAATTGCTTCAAATAATCCTTGCAACCCATATAATTATTTTCACCTTCACTGCAGATTTTACCTGACACCATTTATTTTGTCAATTTATTCTATGGGGCTAAACTACAAGTCTCCAAAGTTGACAATACCCATT